CCCGGGGAGCGGTGCCGGAGCCGGAGCGGGAGCCAGAGCCGCAGCTGCGGCCTCGGGGCGGCGCAGAAGCTGAGCTGGGACGGGGGCCCCACCCTGCGCTCAGGAGCAACAGGGGCGCTGGCGGGGCGGACCCCCGGGGAGCGCCCCCTGCTCAGCCGCGCGTCACCGGGGAGAAGGCAGGCTCCGCGCGGGGCATGAATTATTCACCAGCTTCTGACTGTGAACGGAATAAAAATATCCTGCCTGGAAAGTCCTGTAATGAACAAGTTTCTCTCTTCCTCCCAGTCACCCCGCTTTTCACCCTGGTTCATCCATCCCATCAGTGCTGGAATAAAATTCAGTATATCGCCCCCCAGGTCCTTCATCCAGGACCCACGCATTGCGGGGTCAGGGTTTCCCAGGGGGAATATACCCCCCGACCCAGGATCAGGAGAATTACCTTATATTCTAATGGAAATTTATGTTTTCGTCGGCTCGTTGGGACGGGGTGAGCATCCACAGAAAATCCCCAAGCCGCCATTTAAATCAGGATTTTTATTCTTGTTTCTCATGGCCAAGCTCCCTTCAGAGTCTGGCCCTTGTGTCAGCAACAAAACACTTAGAGGGTGAAAGTGCACCAGTCAGAAGGTGAGACGTGGGAGTCGGGGGAAGCAAGGGACCCCAATACTCCACAGAGCGGGCACCCACGATGCCCCCTCAGAACCTTTTGTCCCGCAGTTCACCCCCGAGGCCTGCAGTCTGACGCTGACTCCTGCACCTGCATTGGATGACCCGTCCCATGTGGGAAATTTTGCATAAAAGTCACCCCCCCAATAAATCATTTTTCTCTGGGAGAATCATTTATTTGAAAATGTAACTATGGCTCTGTTGGCCTGGCTTTATGGGAAAACACAGGGCAGGGTGTCAGGACACCTGGGCTCTAAGCTGGGCATCCACCAACCCGCCTGGCCTGGGCCACGGTCACCCTGTCAAATAAGAAGTTTCCACTCAGCATCACTTGGAAACGTGTTAGAAACGTTTTGGGCCCACTGAGTCAGAATTTCTGGCCGTGGGGCCCAACGCCCTGTTTTCACGAGCCCTCCAGGTGACTCCGACGCCCTTGTCTATGAGGCTGACACAGCGTCACCCCTGCCACATCCACACCCCGGCTCATGGAGACGGGCAAAGAATGAGCGGGTCGGGGAGTGAGCTCTGTAGTAAGAATATGACCTGAAATCTTCACGTATCACTTCTGTTCTCGCCTCGAGGGCCACGACTTCTGTCACACGGCTGCTCCTGGCTGCAAGAGGAGCTGGGGCCAGTCTAGCCGAGTGCCCACGTGCCCGGCTCAAACTCAGGAAGGGCAGGAGAAAGGGGAGAGAGGGCATTGGGCAGTGGGAGCGGGGCGGGGGGGGCACCAGGTTTATGTGGGTTTAAACCTGAAAGTTTAAAGCAAGGTTGTTATCACGTGGGCCCTATAAGCACAGTGCCTGGAGCACGTCAGCTCTTCAAGACCCCTTGAAAATGTTACCGAAAAAAATGACTGGTTCTGAGATGCAAAAAGGAAACTGGGGTGGGGGGATGAGCAAAAAAGAGAATCCGTGGGCATGGACAACAGTGGTGATGGGGGGGGTAGAGGGCACAGGGGGTAGATGGTGTTGGAAAAAATAAAGTAGAAACTTCAAAATCAACCGCAACTCAATTCACTGTTATAGAAGTTACTCCAAGGCGGGATCAGGATACATTGTAACATGTTTGATGTTTGGCTTGTGTGCCGGGACTCCGAAGGAGCTGAGGTCTGCAGAAGTCTCAGGACAGTCCAGGGGACCTCTGCTCACAGCCTCCCCT